GCCCTGAAAACTACGTCTGGAAGTGAAAGGGGCACCGCTGAGTCTTACCTGACCTGGTCTCTCTCTCTGTCTCTCATCGCGGAGACACATCCCCTTTCTGTGCGGGGCTGGTTGCACGGCTAATCTACACCACCGCCATCGCCTTGAGCATCTTCAGCTCTTTAAAAGCGCTTTTGCGTTCTCCTTGGTCTATGGTATCCCTGGACGTTTTTTTTTTTAAATACCACTCTTGTTTTCTTACCTCGATTGTTTTGATTTTTTTTTCTCCCCCCGTCAGAACTCGTATCTTTCGAAATTTTGTGAATTGATTGATTGGTTTTTTTTTTTTTCTGGACATGCGTTCATTGTACTGACTACCCCGGGACGCGGAATGAAGCGCTGCCGCGACCTCGCCTTGAGCTTGTGCGCTCGCCGTGCGCGGTCCGGCTGGCGGACGATGAGGCGCAGGTGATGGACGCGGGTCTCGACTCTGACACAGCTGCCCAGAGATTGCGCTGCCGGAGCTTTCGCGATCTTTTCAAAAAAAAACTATTATTCACCCACGATTCCGCCTGCCCAACGGGAAAGGATGTCTCTTTCTTTAATCCGGGAGCTGGACCGAACTGGGATGCTTATGAACTGCTGCCTTGGCGCTGTGGCGGTGCCGCTGCGGGCGCAGACACTCTCCGTGAGATTCACCTGCAGTCTCCTGTACATGATGTTTTTGTTGTTCCAGCTACCGCCGTCCACCTCTCAGTTTCTCATGGGTAAGCACAAGACGCCAAGCGTGAGAAAACACGGATGCTTTCTGATGTGTATTAATAGATGCATTATGACACAGACTAGATATATGTTTTCTATGATGATGGTCTGCAGAAAATGTCAACTGTAACAACAACTAATTTAACACTTTTCTGTTCCTTACCGTATAATGTTAGATATTAGGTGTCAAGAGGTGCAGAAAAAGAGGTGGCAGTCAACAATTACCTTCCTGATGTTTTCTTTATTTTGTTTCATTGGCTTTCGCTTAATTTAACGCTGTTCGTATATTCTCTGTACTCCACCCGGTGATTGCTCTGTTACAATGAGATTTGGAGATCCCTTAATATGTACGCCATAACCTATATAGTTACCTCCATCATAATTAAGGAGTTTACCAGTTTTCCATTCTAGATATACGAAAATGGTCTGAAATCCTGATACTCAACATTGAATTATTGTTAGACTGCCTGCTGCACATTTTAGCAAGCACAACAAAAAAAATACGCTACTGTTTCTTTCGCAAGCAAACACTTGATACCCGTGTCAAGTGAAAACAATTAAAATAAAAGCGTATCCTATTAAATATCCGAGTAAGCATGGCGCTGACAAGGCATTTTAAGAATGCCTAGAATGTATTGTTAATCGCTGTTTTTGTCACTAATAAAGCTTGCGATTTATTGTGCCAACTGAACTTAATTTATGCAACCTGTTAATTAGAGAAACGATCCTGGGATGTAATTACAGGCCAAAGGCTAGTGAAGACCTCAGACATTTCTACGAAGCCCTCTACACCTCGACTGATATCTGAACGAAAAGTCCTTTCTAGGGCGAGTTGAAGTATTAAGTTTCGAAAAAGGTTTTTCTCTGTTCACCACAGGCAACGGAGACTAACGATATACATGTCTTGTAAATTGAACATTAGCCTCTGAAGCTATGGAGTCATTTCCTGGATTGATGGGAAAATGTAGTTTATGAGTGGAAATCTACGTGTGCGGGTTCCTGTCAATTGCACAGAACTTCACTTATCCGAAATCGATCGCGCTGCGGGGAGGTGGTAAAAATAAAAATCTCTAAATTAACTCCAGCCAGCGCCTAGATTCAATCGGTCTTGCTTGTCACAAAACATCTCCGCTATAATTTTTTAGTCTCATACCCCTGAACCCCCGATCTGAGGGGACGTTTTTACAGCATTCCTCTGCCAAAACGTCGCCGTTAAGACTTGCTTAAGTGCCTTTTTCAATATCTTTTTACGCGTCTGGAGACGTACCTAACGCGCTTCAGCGCTGGGGAAATGTCTGGGATTGCCCGGTCGCACACAGGTGCTCGGTGGTGGTCGTTTCCACTGTTAGATCTAATCCCTGCAGAGCGCGGATGATCGGCATGGTTTTAGTGAGGTGGGTCTCTTTGAGCCCTTGGAGGTGCTCACAGCTGAGCGGTCTGGGAGGATCTCTCTACAAAACCTCCAGGTCCTCTGCACGATTATCCAGCCTTCTGTTGGACTATGCCAATGGTCGTATGTGCAAATCTATGTGTGCAGGGAGGTGTCAGAAATCGTAAGAGGCAGCTTCTCTGCTCTCATTGACTGTGCAGTATAAAGACAGAAGGTTAGGGCATTACAGCATTGCCATCGTCTTGCCTGTCAGCAGGCAATAACCCCACTGGGCTTCTGGGGCTGTTCTCAGCCAGCCCCTGTGAAACTGCGCCTTTGCTCCCGTGCAAACGGCAGTCTGATACTGGCCTCAAGTAGACTTGTGTTGCTCATGTGTTGCTCTCTCTCTCCCTGCTTTCTGTAAGAAGCATCAGCATTAAGCCGCTCGGTTTAGCCATGACAGTTACAAGATCGGAAAATGGTAACTTCCAAACCTTGGGATCTCATTTACTTGTCAAAGCTCAGCTCTGTGTCCGTGCTTACACAATTTTGTAAAGTGTAATCAGTTTTTAAGGGGGAAAAAAAAAGACTTAAAAGTAATGGAAGGTGTACTTTGACAGCAAAACAGCTTTGTCAAAACAATCGCTAATAACCCCCCTCCCCCCAAAAAAGCCTGGACATGCCCAATGGTGTCACAGGAAGGAGTATGGAATTTGGCCTTGCAGACTGCAGTGCATCCCCATGACAAACACCTGATACTGTCTTGCTGGTTTCTTCTCCAGTCTTTGCCAAGTGGTGCTGATCCAAGGAGTGGTGCACAAGAAGGATTAGCACCTGCAGACCCACATTCGGGAGCTCCCGTTCCTAAACTGTTCACTAGAGTTGACATCAGACAGGGTTGTGGGCTTGGACCGGTCCCAATGGGTTTGGTGACCTGCCAAGGTACAGAAGCTAAAGGCAAGAGCCATTCGTACCGGCAGCAAACAGACAGCGCGATGTCAGTTATGTACATCACACCCATAATCCTGCCACTAACAATGACCCTGAGATCAGAATGCCTGTGTACGACGATCCCATCTTGTAACACAATGCTGTCGCCACTACAGGTCTCTTTCAAGCTCCTGCAAATGTCCGATGGGTCAGTGCACCATCACTGCTGTTCACTATGCTCTGGGTCACAAGGAAAACGTGTCTCTTTGGGCATCAGCAGCCTTAGCTTAAATACAAAGAAGCTGTCCACATGTAACACAGTTGTGTTTTTTTGGTAAAAACCTTCCATTGGAGGGCTGCTGATTGACATGATTGCCTGATATTTTGCATTGCTTTCAGAACAGCTCACTATAAATTAGGACCAAAGATTTGATAAGAGAAATAGTACAGAATTCTATCATCATTGCGTTCAGTAGGACTATATATTTAATCTATTACTGCAGAATATATTTACGTCCTAAAGAAGAAGGAAATGTGAAAAACAGCACTTCAGGATCTACGTGAATCAGCCCATGATGAACTTTGCCTGGAGATGATTAGGATGTAGCACTGTGGTTTTATGGCACTGATGTATTGTTCTACACTCACACTCGATCAGCGATCTGATTTTGCACATGAGTGTAAACTCGTAGACTGGGATTGGGCTATATAAACAATGAACAACAACATATTGATCTTTATCTCCCACAGGTACTGTAGCCAGCTGTGAAAATGAAGGAGAAGTCTTGGAGATCCCTAATATCACAGACAACCCCTGTATAACCTGTGTCTGTCTGGTAAGACATTTAGCTGAAAACAGTCTTTTGTGCATTATGTTTGTTTGCTTGTGTGGGCCTATTTGGGTTACTCTTCAGAAACCTTATATGTCAAGCAGTGTTTTAAAATAACAGGAAGAAGAGAAATGATTTGTGTCGAGGCCGAAAGCTTTCTTTCTGCGGCTCAGAAGAAGACAGGGAGGGTTTTTCTCTCACACCACTGTAAGGATATACTGAGGCAGACCATAAGAATGTCAGAGGTTGCAAACAAGGGCAACATTTTGTCCCGTCTCATTTGGTTGCGTGTAGCTAATTGATCCAAGAACCACATTTCACTTTATAATTTCCATATGAATCTGCCCACAAAACACTGCTCTTCATTCAGGGGTGAGGCTCCCACAGGCAGAGAGCAAGTGTGTTGTGTGTCTTGCTTGTAGACCTTCAGCTCACCATGTTTTAACGACAGTGTGCCTGACAGCTGGTCTGAAACGAAGTGGCAGCAGTAACCTTTATCCTGCGTTGTGCAAAAGAATTTTTGAAAAATAAACTTTTAAAACCTACAGCTGCAAACAAAAAATTACAAAATACGGGGCTGCTTTAAAGTCAGTAACACTGTTTTACGTTTGCAGAATAGGTCTGTGTCTCCATCTAACAGATGAGCTGCACGACATTAAGGACATGTTTTAGAATTAGTCATGACTAATTTCGTTTTGAACATCTGCTGGCGTTTTGCGTTTGACTGCAGCCCTTAAAGCGAGACACAGCAATGAAGACAGAATAATGGAGTAGCGAACTAGAGCCACTAATGTTTGTGAGCTGTGCTGTCCATTTTACCAGCAGACGTGTGCCAGCCATGTTAAGCCAGTGGTATTTGTGGGAGAGAAATTCCTGGCTGAAGAACACACAGGGTATTAAAGAGTGGCTAGGCAGGGTTACATGAATGCTTGTACAGGCAGGCAGAAAGACCGGGGGGATTATGTTAATGGAGGAATGGGATTTTCTCACTGACCACTCTGGATTATCCTTTATGGGGGTCAGTATGAGCCACTGGGCTCAATCTTGTGATTTAGATTCTCCTCGATCCAAATGATTGGGTTGGGTACGTGATTGCATGCTCAGTGACACTCGAGTGTGGAGTCCGCATATCCTGGGAAAAAACCTGTGCTCTGTTTTAGTTACAAGAAGTCAGAGGGTGAATGGGTACTGTAGGTAAAGGCTTTTAGGATGAAATTCTTTTATAGACGTCTGTTCAGTCTCAGGCAGAAGGCTGTGTTGTTTCAATCTCCTCCCTGCTGCAGCTCGAATCTCCAGATTCTCACTTTTGTTGTAAATAAATGATAATTGTGTAGCAGCACAAAGCTACACTTACACTGCTGTGAATGTGCACTGCTCAGCATCCAGCACTAATTTGGTATCAGTGCAATACCAAATGATAGTCCAAATATAAGTGATATATGAAAACATTAATCAAAGACTAAATGTGTGTTTAAGCTTAAAATATATTGTAATATCTGGAAATTTGTATATAAGAGACAAGACCTGCCTGCCCTAAATGGAGGAGACATTGATTTGTTGTGCGAACTTAGGCTTCCCTTGAGGAAAATCAATAGGTGAAAATGAATGTTTTGTCTGAAGTGAATTTCCTCAGAGCGCTCTGGTGTCCTCCCACAGTCCGGAGACATACTGGTCGGCTCATTGGCTACTGGGAAAACTGCCCCTGTCGTGTGTGTCCGTGTCTGTGTGTGCCCTGCGATGGACTGGTGTCCCATCTCGGGTGTTTCCTGTCTGGATGGGCCCTGGCTCTCCCACTGCCCTGTGTTGGATCAGGCAGTTAGAAAATGGACTGATGTGTTGATAAACACGGGATTCTTCTGAACTCTCTTCCTGGCTGTACAATAAGCGCAATATATATATATAAACATTTTGGTTGTTCGTTTGACAAATTTGTAAAATAGCATCGAATATTGCCTAGATGTGTCATTAATCTCCATCCCATTATTCTGAAATGTTCTGTCGCTCAGGGTAGTGACATTTTCAGCATGGTAGTAAAAAGTCTCAGCTGTCGCCATCTAGTGATCATTAGCCTATAATCACCATATGAGAGAACCAAGGCTGGCATGACGTGTCAGAGATGCTGATTTACTTGAAAGTCCGTTGTAGGGAATGCCTAGCGTGAGTCACTGAAGAGTAACGACCAGATTGTTTATTTGTACACCTGAACATAGTCATGTTATCTAGACATTTGAAACTTTCTATTTTTTTAATCAATCCTATTATTTAACAATGAATATGGATGTGTGCCGTTTCAGAACTTCCGACTAAGCTGCATTTGGTCACCATGAGTTTAATGCCATTATGAAAATCGGGACAGCGGGAATGTTATTGGTATTGGATAATGTGTGAGAAGATATAATTACATTACAGTGTTTTTTAATAAAATGACACCATGATAACGTACCTTAGCAGCAGTTAATTCTGCCATATATAGAGTAATAACCAATACTGTATCTAGATAAAAATGGTAGAATTTACTTCATGCTGTTTCAGTTCTGTTTGGCATCTTTAATCAGCTGAAACAGCACCTATTGGTACTGAAGAATGAAGATTAGTTGGAGTACCGAATTCTGCCTTTTCATTTAGTTAAGGACCACATTGCATATTGTTCTGGGGGACTGAGAAACCATCTGTTAATACATCTTCTACTACATTTCTTGTTTAGAAACAGGAGTACAGCTATGCATAAACAAAAGTGCTCTCAAAAGCCATCAGTACAAAATAACGAGGCGAGCCATGGTATGCAAATACATTGAAACAGTAGCCTGGCTATTAATCCATTGCTATGCTGTTATAGATACCTCTGCCAATGGAAAAAACACTCATCAGTGTCTCTAATATTGTGCACTAATGAATTACTTTATTGACTGCTATGTTTTTATGAAATAAAATCGATAGATAGACTTCTCATCTAACGAAAACCAATCCTTTTCTATGACACTGACCTTGACTAGGATATGATGACTGGTGTGCTGTAAACCAGAGGAGTGACGAACCCCCAGCTTACACTATTGGCTCTCTCATAAAAGATGAGGAAATCAGTTCTCATCCAAAGATAAATGGCAGAAAATAAGAAGTGAGACTTTAGCCTTTTGCTCCATGTTACTATATGATGCTGTTAGCACTATTTTCGCCCTGAAATTGCAATCCATTGGAACAAAAGCATAAGTAGTTTCTAGGTCTGAGTTTCCTATAGTCACGCATCTCACATCTATTAATATCCTTTGTTTTTTTGGATTTGCATAGCAGTATTTTTGTAAGGTATTTAAATAACTGCAATACTGATTGCATGTCCTGAGGCAAGATCTTCCAAAACATGCTCTGGTGTTCCCTGTGTTACACAACATTGGGATTGTCTATTTACAAGCACAGCAAAACAGGAAACTTCAGATTACATGACTGAGTCCGGGTTAAATTCGGCAGTCAGAAAGGCACATCTCTCTGAAGGAGAAACAGAGAAGGCATCAGAGAGATACCACACACAACTTTTTATTTGCTTAAAAGTAACAGTAAGGACTGTGATTACATTTAGGTGAAACCTTTGGGTTTTTCGATAATATGTATTTAGTCTGGGCAAAAAAAGCTAATGAAGGAACATCACAAAGCAAAGGGATACCTCTTACAAAATACACGACTGAGACTGATGATAGAAGTCCCCCAGTAATTAAGCTTTGAGGGTTGAGAAAGGCAGATTCCTAATTATATCTCTTGATGTTTTTTTCTTGCTCCATTTAGGACCAAAAAGCTGACTGTAAGCAGGAAAAGTGTCCACCAATATCCGAAGACTGCGCCCTAGTGGTGAAGCAGACGGGTGCCTGCTGTGAAAGCTGCAAAGGTAGAGTTTCGATCAACTTTACAAAATAACTTTTGGTGTTACGTTTGGTAGAGTGAGTGGGTTTTCATGCTGTTCTGTGAGTTACTCTCATCAGCGTTCATGGTGGTACATCGTGTAGAAAATAAGAAAAAAAACCTCCGACTCCAATACTTAAAAGTTGAGCCTTTTCATGTGATCTATGCATCAGGTACATCACCTAATTTCTTGTCTGGATAGGTTTGTTTGTATGCAGCATATGAAAAAAAAAACACATTTAAATACTGTGTCATGTGGTCGTTTGTCATTCAGTGATACCTCTGTGCCTACAGCTATATTTGCATGCTCGAAAGAATATTGTTTTGTGTTTTAGTCACTTCCGTTTTCTGTATTTTGCCACGAAAGACACACTCTAGTGTGACTGTCTGCGCACGTTATGTTGAAGGTTGCAGCTAAAGGACTGATCACAGCAAGACCAGCATTTACCTTTCAGTGAGACAGGAACAGCCGTGGTAAATTGAGAAAGTGTATTCCGTCTCTGATGAGACTGAAAGAAGTCTGTACTGAAACAGACTTCTGGAAAGACTCGACGTGCTCCTGCCAGTGATCTCCCAGAGGAAGCAAGCAGAGTTCACGCCCAAACACGTGCCTGCTGCTGATGAAATATCGAATGTATTGGGCTTAAGAAATGATATCCTGCAGCGTGAAATGAAGAAATTTGAACTTTCACAGAAGTGATACTCTTTGCCATAACCTGATCTGAGGAGGAGGAGGTACACAGAGCATCCATGGCAAGGACATTGTAAATATAGTTTCTGAAAGAGATGCATTCCCTGCTTTTACATTACAAACGTTGCATTAGGTTATACTCAAGTTTTATTATTTCAAACTTTACGCGATATGCCAAAAATGAGGCTTTATCAAAACCCATCAGTTGAATTCAGTTTTTTTGTCGTATGCACGAGTGCAATGAAATGCTTATTTGCATGTGTGTTCCAGTACAAAGACATTAAGGGAACTCCAAACCTAAACACAGAACAACAACAGCAGCAACAATGGGCTTAAATAACAGCCAACTTAAATAAAAGTCAGTACAAGCCGTGTGCAAACCAAAACCATGTCAAGACACTATTGAAAGTCATATGTTAAACCTTTGGGAATTAGGACATACTAGCAAATTTTATCTACAGAATAAAAGCCTGGGACATCTACAATCAAACAGGCTCTGGAAGAATGTGCTGCCCCATCAATGATATAGAGCTGAGCAGCTAATGGTGTAGATAAGGACAACAAATCAACCATCTTCACAGCAAGACTTTGGAGACTGTTTAACAGCTGAAGTGACCGTTGCTGGAGTCCAGACTCAGACGTACCCATCAAAGAGAGATTCAACCAGGCATCTCGGGAATGAATACGTTTGGGCTAAATGTCATTGGTGAGCTGCTTGACCTGTTTCTTAAAAGAGAATGATGACCGTTAACGCTAGTCACAGGGTAAAGCCAGTCTGAATATGTTAGTACAGATACAGAGGGATGTGTTCTTTGTGGCTCCTAGAGAAAAACTGGTTACTGTATATAAAGGGAGCTGGGAGGCAAGCAGTTACTATTCCTCCATATAGTGACCAAGTCATTGAAGGATACTTCAGGGTTTCTGTAAAATTGAAATATGAAGTGTTAGTACAGCCCACCGCTGAAGTAAGATTTTCTGATATATTCCTTTGTTTTCAACAGTCATCCATCAACGGTCCCTTGTGAAACTGCCGAGTATCTCTGATCTCTAGAACTAGAGTAACAGTATTAGTTATCACTCTTTAATTTCGAAATATAATTTTTATATAACTCAATATCAAGTGTTTTCAAATATATATAACCTATATCCTAATGTTACATGTTCCTAAAACTGAACCTGTAGTTGTGTTTTGTGTGTGATCTCTGTCAGAATGTCTTGCCTTTGGACTTGCAGAGTGACAGAGCATGGCTAGCTGTGATGCTTGTTACCCACCTGATTATCTTTAGATGACATAGAAACACTTCTGTCTCAACAAATAGACTTCTTGGCATCACAATAGATACAGAGACGGCCTGTGGTCAAACTTAAATAAAGAAGGACATGTGCATGACATCTAATTAGATAAAAATAAGCTAAAAAAATTACAGAACTATTGAACGATAGACAATCTATTTTGATGCCGTTTTGATCATGATTGCTGAATCTCCGGTGCTGTTTTCATTATAAAATATAATGTTTATTTTGTCTATTTACAGACTTTTTGTATTTTCTTAAATTTAACAAAATAACTAGGAGATAATCTATATCTATATTAAATATCTTGTCACCAGCAAGCTTTCCGTCTGTTCTTACGTGAATTCCTACCTAGTTCTGTCTTCAGCTGGAAACAATCAAAACCTGATCTGATTTAATGTCATGTAAACTGGCTCTGTTCCGTTTGATTTTTTTTTCCCCGTTGGTTTTAGAAATGTTTTCTGATGGTAGTTTAGGGGAAAGACGACTCCAGAGAAAAAAACACAATCTGATGTATTGAAACTGAGCTTATTTGCTGTTTTTGTTGTTGAGTGACCAAGTACTTGTGTATGTGCAATTCGGATCTGATGCATGGAGTTATGAACCTTTTTAAAATAATGTGAGTCTTTAAAGCAGAACAAGCATATATGCTGTGCATCACAATAAGCTGGTGGCTGCAACAAGGATTTTCTCAAGAAATCTTTTTCATAGTGGGCAAATTGACCTTTTTTGAGATGGCCACACAGGTAAAGTCATTATGTTGATTCACATTTATGACCAACAAGGTTGATCAACGGGTATTCTATTGTGAAAGTCACAGGCACAGGTACAGTAGCATACAGGCACACCTGTAACCTGGTGCACACCTGTGGCTGTGGTAGGAAGCAATACAGGTTACAGGTGTGGTGTTGTGGGATTTGGTCCCAGTCTTCAAGATTATGACTTTTCACTGGTCTCTGAACCTCAGACACCACTGCCACCCAGAACCTCCCGACTCATCTCACAGATGTTCGAGGGAATAAGGCCTTCACTGCATGCTTGACACAATGGCACCTTGCAAGATAGCTGTTGTTGCACGAGCTGGGTGGGGACATGAACTGTCCTGCTGCAATGATGTCACATTAGAAACAGAGAAGCAAGTGAGGTCTCACTCGAACAGTGTAAGGAGGGGGTTTTAGTGCAAGAGTTGTAAGATTTATTCTTGAGTATATCACTGTCTGCCATGTACAATACAAAAAACATTTAACCACTGTCCAAAAACCATGCACTTTATTTTTGTAAGAACATAGATGCATAGATTGAGTGATTACTGTCTCGATTTGTTAGTATATGAACACCATGTGCTTTTTACTGTACTCCTCTCTCTATTAGTTAGTAAACACTTAAAATGACAGCCGGGAGTATGAAGAATTATGTTTCATAATAACGGGGGTCTTGCAACAGAGTAAGGAAGGCAGTTTTCCAGGTAGACCTCTAAACTTTGACTTTAATTTGACCTTCAGACAGATGTTTCCTTTATTGCTGAGATATTTTGAAATGGCTTTGCCAACAGGGCTCTATTACAACTGTGGGGAAATAAAAGATAATGCAAAGAGTAAACTTTTTAAGTGAAACATTATTCTTCCACGTAAGTGCCAGCTTTTCAACACTTTTATGGTTAAATTAAAGGACGTTTTATGAGAGAGTGTGCTTTTGAAGCTGAGCTTTTTGGAGATACATCTATAAGCATAACTACTTGCTTTATTTTAATCAAGTAGAGCTTTCAACATGAACATGACCTAATATAGTAAGTTATGAACTGGGCTTTTTATTGTTTTTGATGTGTACATGTTCCTGTGCATCTGCTCTGTATGGGGGAGCAGGTTATTATATGTGAAAAACAACCTTTTTGTTTTTCATTGCAAATGGAAAAATTCAGCGGAACTCATATTGAAAAGTAACAGATGTTTTGTCAAGTGTCCGCAAATGATTGAGTGAGAGGAGCTTTTACTGCTGATATAAACAGTTAATTTCTAGATGAAGACTGGATTAAAAGCCTTAAAAAACATGCCTCCTTGTTGAAAGGACTATGAAGTGGTACCATCTTTATGCATCATTTCTGTGACGCCAGAATGGACTGACCTCGTTTCCACCTGATAGTCATGGCTGCGCCCACAGAAACATTCGCCTGAATTAAAAGTTTAACCCACCCACATTACCGACAGCTTGCCCAGGTATTTGCTCTCTTCTTAGTCAGACCCAGTCGGAAAATACTGGATTTGAAATGTGCCATTATCAGGTGCTTCATCGCCTAGCCCGATTCAGGGCCTCTGTTTGAGTGTTGATTTGTTTTTTTTCTGATTCCCGGGACTCGGAAACCAGGAAAGAGTTTGCTTTGAAGCACGCCAGTCATTTTCTCCCCCTTGTCTTTAGGTTGCCAGATCGAAGGGAGATACTACAACAGTTCCACGCAGTGGCAGGTCTCGTCTCTCTCGTGCACCACGCGCTCATGTCAGGTACCGCTTTTCTCATTACCCAGCGTGCCTCGCGCTCGCTGTCCGAACTGATCTCCGGGAAGGGCCGGCGACCGTTCCGTGAGCGAGCGAACGGGGTTGCGTCTCGTTCCTGATATTAGAATCCTGTCAGGGCAAGAGGACCCGTCTTTCTGCTGCTCTGTCCCAGGCCAGTCTGACAGTTCTCGCTAACTCTGAAGTGGGTGGGGAGCCTGCAGCTTGATTTATTGTCGAGTGCTGTTGGGAGACGGGCCAGGTAAACTTGGCAGCACGGCCTGTCCATCTGCTTGGATTAGGCTTCTCCTCCTGCGTCTCCAGTCAGGCCTCAGGATGCCGACTATCCAGGATTATATCTGACAGGGGCTGTTTTCTTCTGTTCTGGAAATGTGCTGCGCTGATCTTGAGAAGGAGGCAGATGTTAACCTGAACTGATGAAGTGATGCAGCCATGTATCACCAGGAGGAACGGCCTCCTTCCTGATTCTAGCTTTAATAAGGAGACCCATAAATTACCATTTTATGTAGTACATATGGCAAGATAAACTAAGAAACCCTGACTTAAGGGTAAAACGGGAACAGTCGCGAACTGAGAAGCTACTTATGACTCACAGACATACCTTAAGTTCTTTGAATTCGCCTCTAGGCAAATGTGATCACAAGCAAATGGATCAGTTTGAAGCTCTGTGCCAGTAGACTATGCAATGAAACATGAAATAAGTCTGAACTACTAGAAGGAGTTTCATTCCAGCCAGTTAGTCGTAGTCGTTTGACCACCTGGAGTGGTGGAAAAAATTTAATAATCAAGGGACAGAGAAGGATGACAGAAGTTGAGCAAGTCTTATTCAGAACTACCACTCAGAAATGTATTAGTTTTGGTATGGGCACATTTCCAACCACCTAGCTGTAACATAATGTCCGACTCGTTTAGGTATACATCTCAGATTTAAGAGTTGTTTAGTTTTGCATTCCAAGATTCGCTTAGGATATTCTGAAGTGAAACTATGTTGAATAATATCATGTGTGTGCCTGTCACCTGTCAGTCACACTAGAAGTTCCAGGGATGTGAGACCAGAGCCTGTGAAATCTTTTGTGTGTTTGAATTCTTGACAGAGGTGGGGTAGGGCAGTTCTAGGTGCTCAGCACAGTTCTTGTGACTCACTGCTTCATTCTCTATCTCTTGTCAGCCCTTTCCATAAATCTGGAGTGTGGTGTCTGGGGTGATACAACAGCCCATCTTGGCCACAGCAGCCAGGTTTCAAGCTTCGGTATTTTATAGTCTTGGCTGCGCAGATCTGTTGTGATGAGACTTCGGGCCTGGTAGCCCGCCAGCTGCAGAGAGGGGGGTCAGTCAGTAGAGGGAGTGGCTGCAGCTGGAGCTCTCTTAATAAGAAGCACTCCTCGGTGTCTGAAGTTTAAAGAAGGGACAGCCAAGGTCTCACTGTAATTAAATATTGAGCTGCTGTCAGCACAATTAAATGGTCTTCAGCAAAAAAAAAAAAAGGGCTTATTTACAAAAAAGAAAATGTCAGGCAATCCAAATGGCTGCAGGGGCATTGGAGTAGAAAGTGATTACAACTGAACTTTAAAGAGATCGAGCGTTTTGCTGTCTGCATGATGCGAGGTTATCAGAGCACGCAAGTGCGACATCTTAGGCCTCTACGCAGGTTAATGTTCGTGGAGTGACCAGGCCTAGTTGGTTTTTTTGTCCACCTATTATAAGTTTCTCCTGCCTGTGAGGAGCTTCGTTTCAGCTGGCTAGGCTGACTCTGAAGGTGATATTTACTGATGTGATATTTACTCAGCAATAAGAAGCAAATGAAAAGAAATTAACCGGCCCCTCCAAAATAATTATGAAGCCGTATTACCTGTTGTGTGCAAAGACTTGGGACAGTGGAGAGTTGATGAAATAATCAATAGGCATCACCCGCTGTGAGTTCATGCAATGAAATACAGTCTTCACTGACGGAAAGTTAAATCTCCAAATACTGATGCACAAAAAGCACCAATATCCAGAACGCGGCGAAAAAATCATGTATATCGTGACTTTTATATACTCGTCTTTTAATCATGGACTAAAATAAGTAAAACTAACTAAAATATATTGACTCAAATATATAAAATAGATTGTATAGGTATTGTATTAATTCAAAATGTGTTTTTAGGTTTGGCATTGCTTAAAACATAATTTAACAAAATGAAAAAAATGTGGAAATATATTTTATGATATATTGCTTTAAACTTTCATACATTTAAAATATAATTTCAGACAAATATATCTCAATTTATGTGTTTTTAGTACAGTATTCTTTATCAAGTGTTACATAGTGCATGGACAGTATATTACCTAATGGATTATTTTGTACAATATATGCATATAGTAGATAATAAATGTATGTTTTATAATATTTTGAATTTAAAAATATATATTTCAAACGTGTTTACCGCATATGTGATATATATATATACACTATATGTGATATTTATATCCTATTAAACCCACCAGGTATTAGAAAACTGGTATTAGAATTAAACTTAATATACCAAGTTATAAAAAATTGTTTTGCAACTAATTTTGTGGGAATTTAAAAAATATATTTAAGCAACATGTAACGTATGAGAAAGTGGAATTTATAAATGCATTTCAGGGGAGAACGATATATAATGCTGTGTGTTTGAATTGTCCCTGAAAGAATGAAAAATACAGTCATTATCTGAGAGAAACATCTTTCTTGCTTAATTACTCTGCCTGCTGTGTTAATTTGTTTACCAGTGTGTTTCCATTTAAAAGAATAATCTGATGCCCAGGGAAAGCTTCTTATGTTTTAGGAACTGATTGACTCCTGATAACAACGGCGGTTTTGCTTACTAGTTTATTTGTTGCAGTAAAGGTATCGTGTCAGATGTGCTACTATAATATTAATTCTTTTTAATGAAGAGTTTTTGAAAATATTTGGAAGACCATTATTTTTTAAAGTATCCTAATTTCCAAAGTACAATACAAAATTAAAATCTGTGAAAAAACTTTTTGATTAATCTGGAACTACCATTCCATGTTTTTATAACTATTCCGGAGTTTATTATAAATGAAAGAATATAGTCATAGAAGACAAACTTCAGTCGGTCTTTTATCATTTATTAGATTATGGCTGTGCTTAAGGACTGAAAGGAAGACTCAGCACAACAAGATCACTGTATTTATACGTTTGTTTTTAGAAACTTAAATTAACTACAACAAATTCCTAAAATTCCTATCAAGAATTAGCATATCTGCCTGCAAGACGGCACCACTCTGAAACTGCACAACTGTTCATACGGTCTACACAAAACCTGCGTTCATTGCCGAGCCCACTTGAGATGTTGTCCCCTTGGTAAGCAGGACGAATCGGTGCCTTTACATTGGTTTTACATTTCCATACTCTGCACAGAAGTAAAGTCCAACCTAGAGTGTGGTCCTCCCTGGGGTCTATTTTAGACCTTAGCGCCAGAACAGCACTAATGGTCCGTTTCCATCAGGCAAGGTGAGGATTCACTTCTGTCCCTTGTAGCTGCCTGTTGTTTCATTTCCTTCTTTCTTTAATTGGCCCCCTTGCCGATGAGTATTTTGGATTGAACTCATTATACACGAGTCTGCACATGTGTTCTCAAATAATAAGAAAGTATACTGGTGGTGAGAATTATATTTATTTTGTATATTAAAAAAGCTAAATTAGCAGTGGTAGATGGTCTGAGGTTCTCTTTCTCTTCCTTCGACACGTTTGAAATTCCCAAATAATTCAAGGCATGTATTCTGACTTAGAGTGGAGGAGCTGAGAGTTGGAGCGTAGTTAGTATCCAGGCTTTCAGCTGTACGGATATCTGAAACATTTCAGAGGAATTATGTGTGCATACACTGAGAGCATGACGACAGCATTCCTCGAACGCCCACATTTCTTTTTCAGGAGAAGGCAGCACTGCAAGTAGTCGTGTATTCAATTCAATTCACGTATCAGAATCTCAGGTGATGTACGAATTTGGAGAGAAATTGTTTTCAGGCATCTCATCTGGGTGACACACCTAAGAACTGTAAAGTGTATGTTTACAGGGAGAAAAAAAATCAAAGTTGACATAGAAAACGTTGCCCTAAGGCTATAAAAATCTGCCTCCTAGGAATGCTTTTAGTTATGAAACAGTGTATTAAGTAACTTTATAGTTACCCCACATCAGGGCAGACAGACTATAAAAGAATGCTTCACCAATGAACTAGAAAACATAACACTGCTTTTTTTCTCCTTTACCAATCAAGTTAATTTTTGTTCAGAAACTCTGTTGGAACAGCTGGTTAGCATGCCGTGTAGCAGTCTAACCAGAAATAAAGACACAATCATGAAGAGTGGATATTTGAGCAGCAATTAATCACCAAAATGCTCGTCAGCTGTGTGTTCAGAAAAATAATGCATTCACGAACTAAGGGCTGGCTTCACTCATATCAGAGCCCAACTTTGAAATTAGAATACACTGAATCAAGTAGTTGAAAAGTAATTTTCTTGATTTTTTTTTTTT